GTCGGGCCTGTCCCTCCAGAGGGGGAATATTCAAAAATAGTTTAAAAATAGTCTGGGGACTATTTTGGGGGCATTGTTTTCGATCATTTTGGCATATTTTTGGAAATCTTTTATTTTTTGTCGAAAATCCCGCTGTAGGGGACACGCCCGACTTAAGCATAGCCCGCCTCCCATCGTAGGCTGCGTGCGACTCTCGACGAGCTCCTCGCAAAGCAACTCCTCGCAGATGGCCTGGATCCCCCGCCGGGGATCTGCGATAAATTATACGTCAGAGCAGGCAGGTGTTTTTCGGACGTTTGCGGGTAGGCACTTTGCGAGCAGTGGAACGCGCTCGGCGAGACTCGACCGTCTGCTGGAGCATCTGTGCCGGATGTTTCTGTTGCCCCGCGGCCGCCGGCTGCTCGCCGGATTTCATCCACGACCTGGTCGCTGGCCCCGAGCTCTTGCTTGATGTTGTAGTCGGCGATGACGACGGCAATGCTGCCGTCATCGTCTTTCTGGGAGTTGATGCCGCACCAAACCGTCGGCCTCGAACTTTTCGGGAAGTGGTTGGCCACGAATGCCTCCGGGATGCTGTAGGAAACGGTGCCGCTGGCCTCGGATTTTCCTGAATGCCGAGCGCGGCGGTTCCAATCATGTCACTGACCTCGAACTCCCTCTGGATTTTGTTCGCGGCGATGCCGCTGACAGCATCGATCGTTTCGCAAGATGAGGTCGCTGGCCTCGAAACCTTTATGTAAATGGTGATCGGCATAGTCGATGGCCAATGCGCGGTCTTTGACGCTTCCTGTAGTCGGCAGCGTCGATGGTACTGGTGGCGCGAGACTCCTCCTGGATGTCGGCCACCCGTATGATGCCTTAGAATTTGTTTTGGCTGCCGACTTCGGACCTCATTCTACATGATGTCGCTGGCCACGAACTTGCTCTGGATTCTGCGACGGCATTGCTGGCTTGGGCTGAGTGCGCGCCGCAGTCGACGGTGACGATGGCAATGGAGTCCGCCAACAAGTGCGCGACCGCGGTCTGCACAATGTCGACGGCGCCGCGGCCCTGGCAGGCGTGGAGGGTGAGGCAAGATGGCGGTGCGAAGCACAGTCTTACACCCCACCAGAGCAAGAGCACACCTTAGGCCTCACCAGAAACGGCGGCGAGAAGACGATCGTCATGTGGACGGCGGCGCCGCGGCCCGCGAGGCCCTCGACGCACACCGTAGCCATAGCCTTGGCTGCGTCCCTTTCGTCGTTGGTTTCCCGCCGCCGACGCCTCCCGAGGATTGGCCCTGCGCGATCTCCTCGGAGAGCTGGACATTGGCCTCTGCGGTGCCGACCGCAATAGGGGAACAAGAAGTGGCATAAACATACAAACTCGGAGGTCCGCGCGGACCTCCGAGTTTGTATGCTTATGCCACCTTTTGCTCCCCTACACAGGGCCACAGGTCGGGGGTGGGGATGCGGCGACGCCGTCAACCGGCCCGCCGGCCACGCCGGAGCCGTGCAGAGCTCTTGCCCCGCAGATGCCCTGTGGCCTTGGCGGTGACTACCTCACGCCGGGCCCGAGCCTGCAGGTTGCAGGCCGCCGGCGAGCTCCGCCAGCGTGCCGCCGCAGCCCGCGCACGCGAGGTGCCTCGGCACGGGGAGGCGCAGCGTGCCCAGGGCTCTGCCGCCCGGCGTTGCCCGAGCCTCCCGAGGACCTCGAGCCGCTGGGGACGCGATTGCGTGGGCCGCGAGGCCTCGGGACTACAGCTCCGCTGGGAGTGCCCGAGCCACCGTGGCTTTCGAGCAGGCGCCTCACCTGCCCCGAGGCAAGGCACGCAACAGGCCGCGTGTTGACGCGGAGAGCTCAGCACGCAGGCTGAACACGTAGGCCTGGCGCGGCACGTTCGCCAAAAAGGTGGACCAACACGCGCCGAGCCAGCACAACGCATGCCAACGCGAGCGGAACACGGTGCGTGCTGCGTTTCAACACGGCGGCACGGTAGACGGAAACAATTAGTGGACACGCCCCCCTCTCCCCCAGATTCAAAGTTGTCACGCGCGGGTGGACTGCGGCCGAAGTGCAACTCGTTCAACCCACCGCCAACATGGGTCATTGGAAGGTGGGCATGGTGTTCGCAAATTTCTTCCGAGGCCTGTGTCCAGAAGAAGAAGAAGAATACGGATCCAAGAAATCCGCGCGGAGCGCCGAAAGTTTATGTCGATCCCGTTTTTCCCTACCTAGGCTCTGCCTAGAAGAGTTCTTACTCTGTTAGCTAAAGGGGCCGGGCAATGCTAATCGCCCCGGGCGGTTCCCCCAGTCCCCGCCCCGCGGTTCACCCAGTCCCCTGGGAGCTTTAGCCTTAGCTTTAGCTTTAGCTTAGCTTTAGCTTTAGCTTTAGCTTCAGCTTAGCTTTAGGTTAGTGTTAGCTTAGATTTAGCTTAGCTTTAGCTTAGCTTTAGCTTAACTTCAGCTGAGTGTTAGCTTAGCTTTAGCTTAGCTTTAGATTAGATTTAGCTTAGCTTCAGCTTAGTTTTAGCTTAGCTTTAGCTTAGTGTTAGCTTAGCTTTAGCTGAGCTTTAGCTTAGCTGTAGCTCAGCTTTAGCTTAGCTTTAGCTTAGCTTTAGCTTAGCCTCAGCTTAGCTTTAGCTTAGCGTTAGTCTAGCTTTAGCTTAGCTTGAGCTTAGCTTCAGCTTAGCTTTAGCTTAGCCTCAACTTAGTTTTAGCTTAGCTCCAGCTTAGCTTCAGCTTAGCTTTAGCTTAATTTTAGCTTAGTTCTAGCTTAGCTTTAGCTTAGCTTCAGCTTAGCTTTAGCTTTAGCTTAGCTGTAGCTTAGCTTTAGCTTAGCTTTAGCTTAGCTTCAGCTTAGCTTTAGCTTAGCTTTAGCTTAGGGTTAGCTTAGCCTTAGCTTAGCTTGAGCTTAGCTTTAGCTTAGCTTTAGCTTAGCTTTATATTAGCTTCAGCTTAGTGTTAGCTTAGCTTTAGCTTAGCGTTAGCTTAGCTTTAGCTTATCGATCAGCTTAGTGTTAGCTTAGCTTTAGCTTAGTGTTAGCTTAGCGTTAGCTTAGCTTTAGCTTAGATTTAGCTTAGCTTTAGCTTAGTGTTAGCTTTAGCTTTAGCTTTAGCTTAGCTTTAGCTTAGCTTTAGCTTAGCTTTCGCTTAGCTTTAGCTTAGCTTTATCGGTGTGTTAGCTTCAGCTTAGCTTTAGCTTAGCTTCAGCTTAGCTGTAGCTTAGCCTTAGCTTAGCTTTAGCTTTGCTTTCGCTTAGCTTTAGCTTAGCTGTAGCTCAGCTTTTGCTTAGCTTTAGCTTAGCTTTAGCTTAGCTTTAGCTTAGCTTTAGCTTAGCTTTAGCTTAGCTTTAGCTTTAGCTTTAGCTTAGCTTCCGCTTAGCTTCAGCTTAGCTTTAACTTAGTGTTAGCTTAGCCTTAGCTTAGCCTTATCTTAGCTTTAGCTTAGCTTTAGCTTAACTTTAGCTTAGCTTTACTGTTACTACTAATGCTGCTTTCCTAGGGGCTCCAACTCCTAGGTAGGGTCGCACTGGGATAATTTGTTCAACGTAGACACGGGCCTCGGAAGAAATCTGCGAACACGCACGTCCGCCTTCGAGCATCGGGGCAGCTACGCCAGGGAAGGGTGGGGGGGGGGAAGGGGGGGGAGGCCGGCAGCCGCCCACCCCCGACCTGGGAAGGCCCACCTTGGCGACGCGCACAGAGGGGGTAACAAAAGTAAGGCCACAATCAAATCCTGCTGAACGGGGATCATGAAAATATTGGGGGGAAGGGGGGGTATGTCTTATGATCGCCCGCGCTCGGGTAGGGAGGGGGGGGGGGGGAAGCCTTCTGAGACGGAGGCTGCTCCTTGGAAGGCGCGGGCCTTGCGTCTGAAGAGCAGGCCCGCGCCCTCCAGGAAGCAGGGGCGCTTCTGAGGAGCCGTCCCCCCCATGCCCGTCTGGACGTCGTCCTCCTCCTCCTCCTCCTCCTCCGCCTCCTCCTCCTCCTCCTCCTCCTCCTCCCCCTCCTCCTCCTCCTCCTCCTCCTCCTCCTCCTCCCTCCTCCTCCTCCGCCTCCTCCTCCTCCTCCTCCTCCTCCTCCCTCCTCCTCCTCCTCCTCCTCCTCCTCCTCCTCCTCCCCCTCCCCCTCCTCCTCCTCCTCCTTGGGAGGCCCCTCGGAGGCCTCTCGGAGGCAGCCTTGAAGCCTCTTAAGGGGGGGGGGGCCGCTCGGGGGCACCCTCGGGGGCCTCTCTTCGGGGGCCCTCCCTCTCTGCCGCCCTCCGCGCGCGGCCACTCCCTTCCGAGGCCTGCATGTGAAGGGGCCCTGGGACACGCAACTAAACAGACACAAACGACAGGACTCCCCACATCTTCCCCATGTTGTCTGGGGCTTTGGTCTCCTCCCCCACACACTTCCCATAGTCTCCCACATTTGTTCGGGGGCAGCGACGATTCGCTGTGCCTGGGTGTTTCTGTCCCCTCCTGACTGTCTCAGGACAGCTGCGCCTGGGAAGGGTGGCGGGGGCACTGGGACACGCAAAACTAAACAGACACAAACGACAGGACTCCCCACATTGTCCCGTGTTTTCTGGGGCTTTTGTCTCCCCCCACACACTTCCCATAGTCTCCCATATTTTTTCGGGGGAGTCGACGAGTCCTTGTGCCTGGGTGTTTCTGTCACCTCGTGACTGTATCAGGACAGCTGCGCCTGGGAAGGGTGGCAGGGGCAAGGTTGGTCGGGTCGGGCGAAAGGGGGGGATAGCAAAGGGGGGGTTTGAGAATCAGCTCACGTAGCTGATTTTCCCGGCGCCTCCCGGCGCCGGAGGCGGCTATGTATCGAGGAATGGGCCCCTCGGTGAGGCCGAAACCAGCTGCATGCAGCAAATTTCGTAACCCCCCCCTTTCCCAATCCCCCCCTTTCGCCCGACCCGAGCAAGGGGGGGAAGCCAGCGGCCGTCCCCCCCCCCCATCCCATGGGCGGGCCCCTCTCCTCGGCGGTGCCCTCGCCGTGCGGCTGCCCGCCGACGCCCCTCGACGCCTTGCGCCGGCCGCCGCCCGCCGCCGCCGCCGCCGCCGCCGCCGCAACCGCAACCGCCGCCGTCGTCGTCGTCGTCGTCGTCGTCGTCGTCGTCGTCGTCGTCGTCGTCGTCGTCGTCGTCGTCGTCGTTGGCGTTGTCGTCGTTTGCGTCGTCTTCGTTTGCGTGGGCGTCGCCGTTGTCGCCGCCGCCGCCGCCGCCGCCGTCTCCGTCGCCCGGCAGTGCGCAACCCTTCGGCGCCCCCTGCCGCGCGAAGTGGATGGGAGAGGCGGGAGGGAGAGGGGGGAGAGATGGGCAAGGAGAGGGGGGGAGAGGAGGAGGGAGAGGGGAGGGAGAGGAGGGAGAGGGGAGGGAGGGGAGGGAGGAGAGTGGATGGGAGGGGAGGGAGGGAGAGGAAGAGGAGGGGTGAGAGATGGGCAAGGAGAGGGGGTGGAGACGGTGTCCCAGCCACGCGACCCCTGGGCGCACCGCCCGGCTGTGCCAGGGAGGCGCAAAGGGGCGGGGCGGCACCACCAGGGGGGACCTGCGCCCCGATCCTGACGCCGGCGACGCAGCCTCGGCCAGCTTTGCGCCTAGCTTCGACTGGCTTCGAGCCTGACGTCGACCGCCCTCGAGTACAGCTCGATCCATGGGTCGCCTCATGAGACGAAGCCGGGACGAGGAGGAACTCGGGCGACGATCAGTCGAGAATCTCTAAGATCTGGCGGCTCTGGTGGATGCCTCGGGCGCCGCAGCCTTCTCAGAGCGTTCGGGAACGCTGTGAGAGCTTTCCGGAACGCTCTGGAACGGATGTCTCTCGGGGATCTTCTGAGCCAGGTCAATCCAAACCCGGGTCAGTCAGGTCTTACAGAATCCTGCAAGATCCTGCATCCGAGCCCGGATCAATGCGAAGGATCCTGCAAGATCCTGCAGGATCCTGCACCCAAACCCGGGTCAATGCGACCCTGGCCCTGCAGGATCCTGCAAGATCTGGCGCTCTGGCTGACCCCCGTTTGCATTGGCCCCCCTCTCTTAGAGAACGGGCTCTTCTGGGAGTCCCCTCGGGGGGGACAATCTCACAACAAGAAAAACACCAAAAACGAAGATGCGCCACCCATCCACTGTGAGAGTGAAACAGGGAGAGAGAGAGAGAGAGAGAGAGAGAAAAAAAATAATAATAAGATAAAAACAACTGCCTCAAAAGGAATCTCTCAGTAAGCCCGCCACAAAAAGAATCCTTTTGTAAGGCCGCCACAAAGGAATCAGTCTGCAAAGCTGCCGCCCGTCCCTCCTCCCCTACATCCCTAATCGATTTCGATTGTATCCTATTGGAGGAGGAGGGGGGCAGGGGATAGGGGAGGGGATCTGCCAGAGGGGGTCTGCCAGGTTTTTGGTACGTTTTTAATATTTTAATTTTGCCCCCCAAAAAATGTTACATCGGAAAACCAGGTTTCGCTTGAGACTCCCTCCAAACTTTGTTTACTCCATCGGGCTTGGCCCGCGTACAATTCGGAGGGGGTCTCAAGCGAAACCAGCTTTTTCATTGTTTTTTCGATTGCTTTCACAAGACAAACACAATGTCGCTTGAGACTCCCTCAGAATTCCAGGCGGACCAAACACCATGGATTGAAACAGTTCGGAGGGAGTCTCAAGCGAAACCTGGTTTTCCAATTCAAAATAAACAACAGATTTAAGTTCCCCCCCAAAAAAACAAACAACTGGCAAACCCCCTCTGGCAGAATCCGTTTGTAAGGTCGCCACCAACGGGATCCCTTTTTCTAAGGCCGCCGCAAAAGGAATCCCTCTATAAGGCCGCCGCACATGGAATCAATGTGCAAGGCCGCTATCCCCCTCCCCCCTAATCGATTCCTATTGTGTTCCAATAGACGGGGGACGGGAAGAGGACGGGGGCCTCCTTCCCTCTATGCTTCCTCCTCCTCCGCCGCCTCCCCCTCCACCTCCTACTCCTCATCCTCCTCCTCCGCCGCCTCCTCCGCCGCCTCCTCCTCCCTTCCGTTCCTGTTCCTCCTCCTCATCCCCCCCTCCTCCCACCCACCCACCCACACCACCCACCACCCCTCCTCCTCCCCTCCTCCTCCTCCTCCTCCTCCTCCTCCTCCTCCTCCTCCTCATCATCATCATCATCATCATCATCATCATCATCATCATCGTCATCAGTCATCATCATCATCATCATCATCATCATCACCATCATCATCATCATCATCATCATCATCATCATCATCATAATCATCATCATCATCATCATCATCATCATCATCATCATCATCATCATCATCATCATCATCATCTTCATCAGCATCATCATCATTTCCCACCTCCTTCCCTCTATGCTTCCTCCTCCTCCGCCGCCTCCTCCTCCGCCTCCTACTCCTCCTCCTCCTCATCCGCCGCCTTCTCCTCCTCCTCCGCATCCAACCCTCCGTAGCCATTTTGGCTCAAGTCGCAATCTGCGGAATCCCCGCCCCTCGAGGGGCATCAGCGCCGACTTCCGGAAAGCCTGCTCCCGACGCTGCACCATTCAGCGGCCCGCAGGCTTCACTGATTTTGGCCACTATTACATTCCTTTTCCCGCACCCGCGCAGGCTGCCGCCATGGGCAAGGGCTCTTATTCTTGTTGCTCTAAGCGTGGCTGCCGTGGTTGGGAATGGGCTCCCAAGAAGTGGTGTTCTCTGTGTGGGTCCAGCCTCAAGCAGGATGGCTCCAAGGGTGACAAGGCAGATGGCGACGCTTTCCGTCCTAGAGGCCCGCGCAGAGGCGGCTCCCGACCGCCACCTCAGGCCGCCGTTGCTGAGGCGGCAGAGGAGGCACCCAAGTCCCAGGAGGGACCGCCTGATCCAGTGGCGTTGGCTCAGGCACAGGTTTCATTCTGGCGCAAGTGGGTTGGAGTCGACAAGAAAGAATATCTCGACGCAGTTGAGTACCTCAAGCAAGCGAAGATGCAAGCGCTCAGGGGCAAGAGTTTGGACCAGCAGACTCAATCGCTCACGGGCCAAATCAATGCCATCAAGAGCAAGCTCGCCAGCTACGAGACCGAGCTCGAAGATTTGGCGTCCTCGATCGAGAAGATGGCAGACGAATACAAATCGAAGTTGCATGACCAGGCTGAGGCTCGTGAAGAACTTCAGATGCTGGAAGCGCAGCGTGCAGTGGCAGCGTCAGCAGCAGCACAGGAGGTGGCAGCAGACTCCAACGTGCAAGGTCTGCTCAGCGCCGCCCTTCAGTCCAAGATTCCAGAGGGAGGTTGCATCCCGCCCGCGCTCACGGCCAAGGTGCAGGAGGTCGCCGAGCTGTTCGACCAGCTTCAGCAGCAGCACCTGGCAGCCATGGGGGCGCAGGCGGGAGGCGACAGCGGCGGCATCGGGGGGCCACCGCCAGCGCCTGGCGCGGGTGCGGCAGGCCTCGGCGGATCGCCATGGCCTGGGCCCCCCTCCGCCGCCGCAGCCCGTGGCGTGCCCGCCGCCGAGCGAGATGCAGCTGAGACGATGTCGGTCGGCAGTGGAGAAGCAGTGGCAGCTCGTGATCTACATGATGAGGAGATGCCCCACAACTTTGCAGGCCATCGGCGCACAGCCGAAAGCCTGTCGCAGCTCTCCGAGCTCATGGCCTCCCACGGCACCGATGACGAGAGGGCCAAGAAGGTGCGCGGTGCCGCGGCAGCTGTGCAGGCCGCGGCCTCAGGGGCGCCGACGCCGTCTCTTTAACAAGCTCGGCATCGTCACGTTCAACGGGAGCTGCTGGCCCACGTTCAAGCAGTTCATCAAATCTCGTGCTGCCTGTGACTGTTCTTTGATTTGTGTCCAGGAACACAAGCTCAGAGATGGGGATGTCATTTCGCAGCAAGTTCAGTGGTGCCAATCAATGGGTTGGTTGGCGCATATCTCACCAGCAGCACTCAATGACAATGAGCAGATTGTAAGCGGTGTTGCCATTCTAGTCAGAGCCAACCTCGACATTGGCATATCCAACATGAGTTTCAGGAGCACAGTGGACCGTAGTCGCTTAACTGGTCTACTTTTGGAGCTCCCTGGCCTACCTCGTCTAGGGCTCATGTGCGCGTATTTTAAAGCAGCTGGCGGGCTTGGAGAAGTCAACCTAGGCCTGTTAGCAGACATCGCCGTCCAGCAGGATCAGGAGCGGGTCCCGATCATCGTTGCTGGAGATTTCAACTTATCGCCGTCCAGGATCGAGAGCCTCGATTACCTCCACAGGGCCTCCCTTCAAGTGGTTGCCCCATCGAGCCCAACCTTCCGTGTGAAGAAAACTCAATCGGTCTTGGACTATTTCATTATCAGTAAGACGCTCAGTGAATATGTCGACAAGGCCCGCACGTGGGCCAATTATCCGATGTCTCCCCACAGGCCAGTGTGTCTCGACCTCTCGGACTCCGACAGTTTCATGATCCCAGTGTTGGTTCGGCCGCAGAGGCTGCCGTCAACACGGCCGTTCGGGCCTCAGCCCCAGCAGCTGGCCTGGACTCAGAGTGCAAGCGCACTTGACTATGCAGATGAATTACTAGCTGATGCCGCCAAGCCTCTCAGCCAGAAGCAGAAGCAAGCAGTACTTGACGTCGTCTATTTCACGGTCGTCAAAGATTTGGAGCAGACTATCAGCCGAGCAACGGACACTCCGCTGAAGCACTCCTCTATTCCAAGAGCCAGCCCCCCTATCATCAAATGGGTAAGAGCCAAGCACAAAGACGCTAAAGCTAGATCATGCTGGAAATCCCTAGAAGCACCTCTACGTTGGCTACGCAATAGGCTAACGGACATCAACTACAGCATCCATCATCAAGATCATCAGCAACTAGTCTTTGGCGTCGCCGGGCTGCAAGATGCTCCAGAAGTGTTTCAAGAGGTCGAGAGCCTCAAGCAGGGGCTCCTCGCCTCCCAGCGGCTCGGCGAGCTGCTGATCTCCGACAGTGCAGCAGGTACGCTAGCAATGGGCACAGCCGACGACGCCATCGGGACCCTGATCGAGGACTTGGACAAGTCCATCGATT